CGCACGCCTCACGCCATGGCAAATAGGAGCCTTGTCGCCTCGGCTCGCCGCGCGCTATTTTAATAACTGCCATACGGTGTACGGTGCACATAATTGATAATAAATTACATTATATTTATTTCAAAATAAGTGGCATTTTAAATTTTTTATTCAGAAATTTGATTTGCTACAATGTGATTCCATAAAATAAATATTTTGGTAAAATTTTATCATATATTTAAAAATCTATTTGAATAATAAATAATAAGTATAATTATAAAACTTATGTTGTTTCATTAATTAAAATGAATTTAGTTTTGTATAAACTATCTAAATAAAGAACATAAGTAGTTGTGTAATTTATTAAACTATAAATAATTGACTATTACATTTACGTCCAAGTTAATATTGAACCGTAAGTTATGAATAATTATTTGTTTGACTTTTAGATTTAGAACCTAGATTTGGACTACATAATAAATTCCTTTATATATATAAATATATATTATCTCGCAATTTTCTAGATTTGTTGTCGGTTACCTTATCATTCAGATTTATCAACTAATTATCTAGAATTAAATTACAATATTTAAATTTTATTAACATTAGTTGTTCAAAGATCTTTTTGATTTTCAAGAGAAATACATACTAATTGTGTGGAATTATCATCGATATCTTATGACAAGTTATTATGGGAACATGCTAAAATTTGAGAATCATATCACCCTGATTTATGAAAATTGATCTTTTAATTCATATGTAGTCAAAATTCTTCTCTTAACATTTTTATAGCTACAACTTGTATGATATTGTAATGGAATTTTTCATATTGTTTTCGACTTTGTCTTAGGAAAAATAAGATAAAATAAAATTGGTACATATACAATTAAAATATATAAAATAAAACAAACTACAGAACTATTGTACGATTATATTTATATAACAACAACAACAACAACATACCCAGTATATTCCCAACTGGTTGGGGTCTGGGGGGTCAGTTGTACGCAGACCTTACCTTTGTAATTATACAAGGAGGCTGTTTCCGTAGCGACCCAAGGTGCATTGCGTCGTTTGATTTTTTTTTTTTTTAGAAACTTCACTAATAGAAGAAGCACTAGAATTTAATTGAGCCATTTTGATCTAGTCCATTATTAGCACTATGCTAGGAGAATTGTCAACAATGACTCTTCCAGAGTCATATTCAAATAAATCATCAATTGATTTTATATTCAAAAGTCAGCATCATTAAATTTCTTAAATTTTTTATATGATATAGATTTTATATTCCAATTTAAATCTCATCAAAGTTGTAAATATACAGTGTGATTTCCTTATCGATTTCTTTTTGTCCAATATTAATTCGTATGATATCTACTCTTTACTCCCTTGTTATGATTTGTTTCATTTTTCAATATTTATCCTAACTAATTGTTCAGTGGATGTGTACAAAAACATATCTACCAATAATCTTTATAATATAAGGTTTTTTCCAAACTTTAAAAAGATTTTTTAGTTAGATAAATATGGACAAAAGAATCATCAATTAAGTTGAAGAATTCGAAGTTAACATTCTTTATTATTAGATAAATATGAGTTTTTAGTTGTGACCATAAAATATAAAATATGAGGTTTGTAGTTAGATAAATATGAATAAAAAGATAATAAATTGGCATAACTTTTCTGAAAGATTTCAAAAAATTTCAAACGTTTCATTTAGTAAATGATTGACCGGATTTTTGTAAGCAAATTTACACGTTTGACTGGAAAAATTGAAGGAAATGATTGACCGGATTTTTTGGAAGCAAAATTTTCACGATTCTTACTAAAAAATCTCATGTTTTTATAATTTGAAATTTAAATTCAAAAGTTAGCCATCCATTTTCAAAATAAATTTTAAAAAAATTACCATCAATAGTAAAATCGAATTTTTTAGGCGGGAATTTACATGCTATTTCAAGTAATCCCCATCATTTTTTCATATATATATATATATATATATATATACATTTCAAAAAATAATTGTTGATTTAGTGCCTTGTGGATATTTGGACATTGGCTGATGATTCTTTCATCCGCTATCTGTTCAAAGGCTGTTTGCTATTTGAACAGTTACCAGGTGGATTTCGATGGGGGCTTATTTCACTTTCAAGATGGGGAACCTTCAACCATTGCACCAATGGCCGGTGTAAGTAATTATCCTAATAAAAAAAAAAATATATATGTTTTGCTTGGATTTCTGTTGTACAAAATTTACCCTTCGGTTGGCAGGGTTTTTCTTCCTTTAGTTTAGTGCTTTTGGAGCATTACTTCTTTGGCTTCATAATACTTTTACCATTTGAGTATTATGAGTGTTATGTTTTCTGGCTAAAATGTGCATTGACCGGTGAAGTTTGTTATGAAACATAGGAACAAAATAGAGAGAACGAAGTGATAAATTTGTTATGAAGTTTTCCTTCTTTTCCTGTTCTCTTAGTTATTTTTGATCTTTCTCTTAGTTATTTCTTATCTTTATTATGGAATAAACTTTCTTCATATAATGCTTGTGTAATGTTTTTAAGAAATGCAATTGTAGAGGGAAAAAATTAATTAAGCCAATAGCTTGAAATAAAGTAGCGTCCGAAGAAAAGAGAACTGAAATTGCCAAATGAAATAAGTCAGCATCGATAATCTCCATAATCATATGTAACCTTGGACCCATAATTGTTCATCTTTGATAAGATCATCAAAATTGTGCATCATTATGTTAACATAGCCAGTACAGGATGTGCATGTGAACATATTCAGTGGGTAAATGGAGAATAGTCTCAATGTTGTGCGGACACAACTCTTTTTGGTGGTCATAAGTTTTTAGGAACAAATCTGTCATCTTTAAATTTGTCTATCATTTGACCCAATAAACTGTTGGTTATAAAACTCTCTCTCCTCCCTCCCTCCCCTCTCTCTCTCTCTCTCTCTCCCTATATATACATATATGTATATATGTGTCTGTGTGTGTGTTTGTGTGTGTGTTATTTGTCTATCCTCCAAGAAGCTCTATTCAA